TTGCTATAGAGGTTGGTTATTAGTCAATTTTATCAATGTGTTTCTGTAACCAAAAAGAAATGATGGCACCAAAAAATATTTATATAAATATAGATAATATAATATACTAACATTGTAACAAATTATATTTTAGCATTGCCATTGTAATCGTTGTAATGGAAATAACATACCTTGAGCAAGTCACCCATCTATCATTTTCATTTTTATTGATGATCGACACGTACACATAACACATTTCAAAAGCAAAGTTTACATTTTACTTGCATAAAGATTGAAGATGGTAGCTTCTCCTGGGATGGCAACGTACACGTAGTTGAGTTGAATAACATCAATGTTACACTTCGTGCAGGTAATCAATTTGTTTTGTTATATACATACATTTGCAAAAGAATTAAAATCTTCCTTATTTGCAAGTAAGGATTTTCTATATCAATCGTCCCAAATATTGAAATTTATTAAAGTTAAAATTCGAATAACACAAAATAATATGCACGATACACATACCTGATACATAACGGGATCAATACTATTTTTATGCACTGCAAGTGTCGGTCGCCACACTTTGATGTATTGATTGCCTATAGTTAAATTATTCAATTGAGGATTCAATTTTCTTGTATAAGTTTGTTAATAGCCTAATTACATATGCAAGTGACTGAGTGTTGGTAAACATGTCCCCAAATCTCGATATATGTATTTTGTCAGCATATATTTAAGATATTATTTATGAATTATTAATGACGTGAACCACGGAGAATAGAATTCCGCAACTGCTATTCAGTTTATGAGCTACGTATGTTATTCAAAACAAAAATTGTTTCTGAATCAATAGAATATGATTTCAATGTTTTGAGGGAAAATACTATAACTATTAGTTTAAACATTTCATTTATCTAGGAATACAACTACTATATTGTATGGTTGTTTATACGGCTTTGGTATCCTAAATGTTACTTATTTTATTTTACGTATATTATTTATATTAGGAACATTAACTATAATAGTTGGTAAAGTTGGTTCTGGTAAATCGTCTCTACTATCTGCCATATTGGGAGAAATGTACACAATAACTGGAAGCGTGAAGCTTTACGGGTATATCAATTTCATTTGTGCTTGTAGAATTAGTTTGTGAATAAAAGTCTACACCTAAACAATCAGTCACCCGACTTCAATTAAAGATCAACAAAATGGATCAATATTATATCATCATAAACATACGACTAAATGGCTGGTCCCATTATATCTATGTACTGAAGTCTGTTTGAAATGAGTTAATATGCAGATATAGTCCAAATAGACGAAGTGGGAGATTATATCGGTAAATTGGCGAATTCCTCAATGTTCGGGTTTTAGCCCATGACATATGCACCAAATTTAAAAACAAAAACAAAACCTATCTAAAAATACAGACGCATAAACATATCGTCCTTAGCATCCCTCTATTGTGTTATATAAGGACAGTTTTGTCTACAATTGCAATGCTTCGACAACAATAATCAATATTCACACGAGTTTTATGAATGAAATGTAATGCAAATGTACATTAGCAGTAAAAGACGGCCTGATAAAACCGAGTAAGGCTTGTTTTTTATATATACATCATCTAGTAATCGAAATATACACTATATACTACAAAGTATGTGTATGTATATTTTATCTTAATTATTAATCAGTAATTAATACTAACTCGCGTTTAATACTTCAACAGGAAGAACACTAACATAGCATATGTGGCCCAGAAGGCATGGCTGCAAAACGCTTCAGTTCGAGACAATATTTTGTTTGGGGAAGAATTTGTTGCAGAGAAGTACAGTTTTATATGTTTATATACATTTACACTAAAATATAAAATACATACATCTACAGCAATGTACAATGCGTATAATATCATGCCTGATAGCATGAAGCATGCTTTTAAAGAATAGATGTAATGTATACGTATTGAGTAATATAGTACTCGTACACTTATAAAATAAGACTAACACAGAATAATTCTTTAAAGGTACTTTACAGTGCTGGATGTGTGTGCACTAAATCCAGATTTACAAATATTACCTGGAGGAGACTTGACAGAAATTGGGGAGAGGGGGATTAATTTAAGTGGAGGACAGAAACACAGAATTAGTTTAGCTAGAGCGTTGTACAGCAACACAGATATAGTTATACTGGTGGGTAGTATATATTTTTTCGGTTTAAAAAATCTCTAATAAAAAGGTTTCAGCAATTCTAACTTTGAAAATGAAATCAAGTTCAAGGTCTGCTTTGTTATCTTATGCATTGTTTAATTAATTACTCAAGTAAGCATTCGAATATCGTTCACCCCTTTTCAACGAATCAAGCATGTTGTCATTTAATTCCAGGACGACCCTTTATCATCTCTGGACGTCCACGTGAGTGAATACGTCATGGTAAATGCTATATTTGGATTGCTTCGTGACCAACAACGAACAGTTATTCTTGTAACGCATATGATTCAGCATCTGGAACATGCTGATCAGGTATGCTTGACAGAATATATTACGAATGGTTAAGTTAAACATTGGTGACTCTGGCACTAAGATAATATTCTAAAAAAATGAATACTTATGTTACAGGTGTTAGTGATGGAAGATGGTCAAATAGTACAAAATGGTAACATGAAAGAAATACAAAAACAAGATATAAGGCTATATAGACAATGGCAGGAAATGGTTTCAGAAATTTCCGAATCACAAAGTGAACGTTCAAAAGAAACAACTGTAACACGTATTGAAACATCAACATCAACTTCATTTGATCTCCAACGACACATAAATGGCAAGTTTTATTTCAAGTCCATCTTACATATGTACTAATCCATTACACATAGAATCATATATACACTATGGCAAATCCTGCTCTCAGATTGAACAACATGTTTTTAGTTAATATCACATTTATAATGAATGTAAATTAAATCATATATACACTACACTATGGCAAATCTTGCTCTCAGATTGAACAACATGTTTTTAGTTAATATCACATTTATAATTACTAGAGTTATATTGACTAGTTGACTATGATGTCAGTTGTATGGGTCAGTATATGCGAGACATGCACAAACACACACATGGTTCAGAAAAACGTGTTTTCTAGTGTTGTTTGGCCAATTAAAACAAACATGCACTACACGTTTTTGCGTAATGCCTATCTTTAAGAAATATGATTATTTTTTATTTGGGCAATATAGAACGACGCACTGTCCTAAGAACGATATGCAGTCGAGCCCATTATTTAAGCAGGCATTCCCAACCGGGCCCTGTTATTACCCAATAATGGGCAGTGCGAATTTCAAATATAATACCCTGAAAGTAGTTGCTTGAAAAGCGCGGTGTAACCTTTACGCTTGTACTTTAGCTGCGCTTTGTAAGTCCACTAGCAAACGACATGACACAACACGCTAATAGACATTTTTTTGATGAGAATAACAATGAATTCCTGACATAAATGAATCATAGAGGGTTTCGTGTACAAATATGGAGAAACATTGAATGTGACTGAATCAAGCACAATATCTTGTTTGTATATTCGCGCATTGACGGCAATCCTAGTTATTACCTGGTACCATAACTACACCTGGTACCGATCATAAACGAGAACATGGCGTTTCAATACTAGGCAACGTATGGTATTATGAAGTGATATGTCAAATGGTCTTTAAAGGGGAGCAGAGGTGTGGCTTTTGACATTCTGTACATGAAATCTGAGATCTATGAATGAATTCTGTCGATAAAAATAACTTATATGTGCTGCGAAATGCCCTAAATTTCGGGTATAAAACGGGCTGTGAAGCAGACGACAAACTTCC